GATGCATATATATATATATATATATATATATATATATATATATATATATATATAAAGAGAGAGAGAGAGAGAGAGAGAGAGAGACATGGAGGGATAAGGATGCTTTGTGGAACATGGGTCATATAGTGTTCTAAATTTTTAAATCCATCCCTTGGACCGTGCACACACTCACAGGTTCACACGTGGATGTGGAGCCAAACTAAGATCCTGTGGGAGTGTATTTTTAACCCTGACTGCCTTTGCGTTTTTCTGAGGGGTTAAAGGGCCGGTTGGTGAATGCAGTAAATAATTCACAGTTGTTGAAACTCTTTCAATGTAACCTCAATATAAATGGGGGAGGGACACCTAAGAGACTTTGCAGTGGCACACCACAGTCTAACTTCATTCCACTTACTGTACAAAGTATCTGGAAACATGGCAGGATTTTATTATTATTATCATTATTATGTCTTAGGCGCTATAATATTTGTGCAATGTATACAGCCCTTAACCTTGTATGTATCTTGTCTTTTTTTAGGTTAAATGACGATCCTGTCCTGTAAATGACTGGAGCCTCTTCACTGAAGGCACCAAGGATATTCAACTGATCTCCAAGGTTAGCAGTGCGCTTTCATTGCTCTGGGCTATATTTCACATGTTCTCTGCTATAAAGTAGCAGTACCTACATATGTTTTTTCTTCCTCCAAGTTTAAAGTACCTACAAGACAGTTTGAGTGACACTGCTTCATGTCAAATGGCTGATTGTCGAGATGCAATGAGAAATGCTGTGCTAATGAAATCATCTGACCCACATTCTACCATTCTACCCATTTCTCTAGAGACACAGAAAGGGCATTTATACAGGTAAACCATGACTGGTCCCTAAAGTGAAAAAAGGGGGTTTTTTAGAAGGAAGAGGTGCATCCATTATTTACCATGCTGTGGTTGCTAGACACTTAGGGTATAATGCAGCGCTTCAAGCATACAAAACACACAGCCTTCTTGGTGCTAGTGAGGCCATTGTTGTGTGTTTCGAGCTTGTCTGTTTCCATCCATACCGACAGATGAAAAAGAATATGTCTCCCAAAGGTTCACAAGCTTGGACAGAGACAGAGAAAGATGGAAAGGCAGCAAAACAATGGTGGAGAGACATGTTTGTGTAGTTTTACAGCTCTGTACTGCTGTGGTGTTTGTGTGTTAAATATTTGTCTCTAGTTAAAGCCACATGTGTAAAAATCTGCCTATCTAACAGGAAACTTTGTCCTACATTGTGTGCTAACAATGTAAACTTCTCTAATTTTTGGTCGCATCTTATCTCCTTGACTATATCTTTACGAGTCTCCTCCAGTTTTGGTAGGTCTCAGTAAAGTTGTTATTGTACAACACTTGCTCTCATAGAAAGTGGTAGAATCAATCAACCTTTATTTATACAGGTAAATCCCATTGAGCCTCGAGGACTCATTTACAAGAGAGACCTGAATTTGATTGTCTGCTGGGAATAATTTGCAAAAGAAGCAAAAAACAATTCTGATTTTTTTTAGTCAAACACCAACACAAAATAGTATGGGCTACCTTTTTCAAAATGTTTTTTCTTTTTTTGTTAATGAAGGAGAGTCACTCACAAAACTTTACAAGCAACAAATTGTTTGCATGCTCCTGGGTAATTTATTGACTTATTACTGTACAGTATATACTAGTTTAACAACCTGTCTGTCTGTCTGTCTTTTTAATTTTTTTATTTAGTTTTTGCAATTAGTTTAGCATTCCTATTAGATGAGATGTTGAAATGGACACTGAAAACATACTAACAAATATTGGACAACCTTTAATCTACTCTCAATAACCACTGGTTTGGTTCAGTTAAACTTGATCAATCTTGTGATGCGTGCAGATGTGGGTTGAGTCATTGGGCCAGTTAAAAAAATTAACGCATTGGTCATAATTTAAGTAACCTCTTGATATTACCTCTGCCTATGTGAGTCGGAAGTTGCTGACTAAAAATATTTCCTGATTTCCAAAATATGATTCAGCTTTATTGTCTCTTATCTTCTGCAAACACAGATATTAACTGTACATCAGGGTAATGCATAAACAGGCCCGTACATATTCTACTGTAATCAGATGGGAAGTTTGTGCCATTAAGATGGTCTGAGCAGAAAGGTTGGTGCGCTTAGATCATTTGAATCCACCTACTTTAATTTGTTGTGACTCGAGTTACCTTTAGCTGTTGATGGACCAAAGATCTGTAATAGAAATGCCCCAGGCTTCACCAGAAGAGCTACAGCTAGCTGCTGCTACTTGCATTTACAAATCAAATTCTATCTAAATAACTGTAAAACTTATGGCAATTTAAAATACTTATGTAATATCATTTGAATGAACTTGTATAAAAATGTCATGGGTGAAGTTGTAGATAGTAGCAATTTTCTTTGGTCTATCTACTTATCAGACTAGCTGTTAGTTAATCAATCCTGTCCGATTAAAACTGCATTTCTCCAAATGTAGGTCATTCAAAGTTATAAGGTATTACTTGTTCATAACCTTTCCACAAACCCTACTTTCAAAAGGCACTAGCTGCTCTGTGCAGCCATGTACAGTCCTGTCTTTGTCAATAAGTGGTATGGTTATAAAGAAATGTAATACCATAATGCTCTTTTTGGAGCAATGAAGTGTCAAATACACCAGAAGTAATACAGGTATAGGGCTTGAGGTGCAGGTAATCTATGTTATATTCAGTGTGCAGGGATTCTGTCCAATAAGCTATTCCTCAAACCTTGCAGTCCAATAGGCCATAATAAGCAGCTGTAACCCAGGGACACTCCCAAGCCTGTGTCCTCAGCTACAAAAACCTTTGTCAGGCATCTTATCATGTTCTAAGGATATCATGTAAGACAATACATGTGAGAAGTGCAGAAGGAACAATGGGGAGAAAAGTGCAGTGTGATATGAGTGGAAGTAGTGTCAGAGAATATTGCAAAGGCCTTTGTTGCCTTCAAGTACACTGGGAACTCACTGTTTACGGCACTCCTTTCATTCACGGCCCATGCTCTGGGATGCAAAGAAATTCCTAATCAAGTGCTATCCCCTATGTTTTAGAAATGAAAAACTTCATGCACAGAGGATGTATCTTTGTCATGAGTAAAGTGTAACTAACCCCTTTTACTTCCAGCTTGGAGCATGACTGTTGTTGATATTTAAGTTAAACAGATATCGGTTCCTTGAAATGTAAAACAGTCTGAACGGCTAAGACACAAGCAGTTAATTGTTTTTATTTGTCTTTTTTGTAGGCGCCTGATTTCTTCTGATGAAAATGACGGGCCCAATTTTGGCAAGAGGGAAGTTTCAAGATCTCCATTTTTACATTTTGCACCACTGGACATTTAGGTAGTGCTGTTCCTGTCCGTTAGCTGACCATACTTCCAATTATTCTATATACTCCTCTTAGAATTAAAACTAACCATAACCTACTAACACATCCATCATGGCTTTCTAATCTGGGAGAGCACTTCCTAAATGAAGGAGGAAATCTTCCACTCATTTTAACTTTATTCATGTCAGTGATAGAGTTTGTCAGCTACATTTTTGACAACTAAATAAAGACATTTTTTTACATAAATGGTGTTCTGAATGTGAGTTATTTCCACTCTGGGCAGCATTATGACACTCCAGGTAAAGAACAGTGTGCTTGACATAATTGGGTCCTATTTTGTTGTGAAAAGAGCACGCAAGTTGATAAAAGCTGGCAGTGTGATCAAAGTGTTGTTGCGTCCTGATCAACATCATACACCTGACACAGTTGTACTTCATCCAGACAAAATAACAAAATTTGAGGAAACACATTTCAAACAGCATCAAAAAGCCACCTTGTTTTAAATATGTTGCAGTCAACATTGTAAAATATTTGATGTACTGATATCTGTCAAATGAAATGTAACTGTATCGCAACAACTGCAATCTGTACATGCTTTTGTTGAGGATTTTATGTTTTGCGGGTGTTGAGGTTGTAAAAGAAGAAAGTACAATGGAAAAGTTTGCTCTATTATACATCTGGGAGAAAAAAACATATTTTTATGGGAAAATAAAGACTTTTCTCCTTCTTTTGCATTTGTTTTAATGTATTTACACATTCATTTTCCTGTGGCTTTCCATTTTTTCCTTTTCTAATGAAATTAAGTGTCTGACTTCCTTGCCTAATGTTCATTCTTATTTTTTTCAAACTCATCCCATTTTCATTTCCTCCACCAGCATCACTCTTCCCATCTTTCCAACAGGCTCATCTTTCCTCGCTTCTCCACCTACAATCCTCACTCATTCGTTGGCCCATTTCTTCCACTCTTTTGTCCTCTCCCCCCTTGTATTACTCCTACTCTCAGATGTCAGATCTCAGTCTAGTCTTTCTCTTACCCAGTCATCACATTTTTCACACAGCCCCATCCCTTAATAGGACCTGTATCATCATATCATGTAGAATACCTGATCACAGCGAGAGATGAAAGATGGCCTCCACCTATTCCCTCGCAGACACACAAATGCTCTCACACGTCAGTGGTCTTATAGGATATGAATCCAAACTGATGGCTGTGTCTGTGTACATTTTTGCACCTCATGTTTGCAGCACAATGATGAAGGGATTGTTGTGCTGTGACAGGTGAGATGGTGTGTGTTGCAAGAGTGTCCAGTGATATTTGTATCAACTGCTGGGGGCATCTGTGATGAAGCAAAGGATGTCTTGGAGCCAAAAGTGTCAAATCTACAGGTAATCATCAAAATAAAGAAAATAGCAGCAACAATAAAAAAAATGTTGGGAGAGTTTTGAAGGATCTCACAATATCATCCACATCAATAGGATAAAATATTTTTTCTTTCAAGCCGTTCTAATTACTGTGGACCTCAAATGTATGTATCATAGTACATACAAATCTGTGATTTTACTTTGAGACTAAAGTACAGCAGTGCAGAATAAGACTGAAGTTATACAGTCTGGACCAAAACTCCATGAGCCCTCATGTGCTATACTTAGTAGTTACTGTCAGAAATGATGGACAAATTATGCAAATGTATTTATTTTGATATGAATACCAAACTAACAGAACATCCTGGACTGTATAACAAAATTGACTCTACATAGAAAGTTAAAATATAAACTAAGTATTTTTGTGGCTCAGTCTCCTGAAAAATATGTTAGGTGAAGGTTTTAGGAACAACAATATACAGGTATATCTACTATACAATTCCCAGCCAAAAGTCAACTGCACACATTCGAGCTAAGACCTTGTCAGATGTTCAGGTTGGATTCTATTTTTACTCTAAAGTCCAACTTTAGGAGTTACAGTTAGGAAAAATCAACAGTAACATCCCCTAAAGTTGTAATTCTCAGTGGGAAAAGACTGAGGTTTTTCACCTGTCCTATAGTCCAATATATTGATCTATTCAATTCAGTTTATTTATATAGCACCAAGTAGCAACAGACTTCATCTCAGGGCACTGAACAGAAACATTCACATACATAAAAAGTAAGTTAATAACAATATTTATCTGAGCAGCAGACTGCTTTGAGTTTAACTCCATGGCAGACTCTCATTTTGAGCAAGCACGATGGCAACAGTCTCATACATGAAAAGATGTGATAGCTGCCGAAATACACTATTCGTTTTCACTTTCATCTATTTGTATTTCATTAAATCAGCCATGGGCGGCATGGTGGCGCGATTTGTAGAGTTACCACCTCAGCGAAAAGGTTGCCAGATCGAATCCCAGCCAGGGGGCCATTCCAGGTGGAGTTTGCATCTTTTCTCTGTGCATGCGTAGGTTTTCTCCGGGTGCTCCGATTTCCTCCCACAGACCAAAAACATGCATGTTAGGTTGATTGGTAACTCTAAATTGTCCCTAAGTGTGAGTGAGAGAATGAATGTTTGTTTGTCTCATTTGTCTCTATGTGTCCCTGTGATGGACTGGAGACCTGCCCAGGGTGTCCCCCGCCCCTTGCACAGTGACTGCTGGATATGGGCACCAGTGACTCCCATACCCCAGAAAAGAAGAAGCAGGTAAAGATAATGCATGGATGGATGGATACATTAGCCACATACATTATCACATCACCTCACCACTTGGTCTTGTCCAGGGTGGACACTTTTTTCCCTGCCCTCTCCCTTCTGCCTTGCTTTTGCTCTGTCCTGTCTGTGAAACTGCTTTAGAGCTTATCTCTACATGTCTTCCAAACCATAATGTTTTGCTATGGATCTGGTTAGCTGGTTTCTCAACGCAATTGACAAAATTTTCTCAACATGAAGACAAGCTTCAGGTGAGCCGACTTGCCCTGATGACATGCACACAGATGGATATGTCATTGAAGGTGATGTGTCTATCTCTGCTGTCCATCGAGGATGTTGAAGGTACATATAAATTCGATTTATGATAACAGGTTTTCTACTTTTTAGAATCATCTGGTTCCTGGTTTATCAACAAACAAGGAAGTCATTGGCAGCAAATTTGGCCCTGGTCAGGCTGCCTGCCTTATGTGATGGTTTTCTCTGTGCCTCAGGCACCCAAACTCAATTGCTTTGCCAAGTGAGCCGCAAATTGGATGTGATTTGTGAGAATTGCAGGCCATTTGTAGCACCTAGGATTTGCTGGCAGGATAGATCAGATCTCTGGGAATACTCTCAGGCATGAACCAGCGGTGTGTCAACTTAATGTGGACGTTTCGGGATCTCCTTGAGGACCAGCAAAGACTCAAGGCAGCCATGAATCAGTAAAATTCTGCCTGTCCCCAAAACAAATGTTGTTTATCTGAATTTGGCATCCCGGCTGGCCTTGACAGGCCACCTTATGTCAATTCGCTTGGAGGCCCTGTAAATCTCGATGCTCTGCCCCCTCCCCTCTTCCACCAAGGAAGTCTGCACACCTATCATAAGGACCCCATTAAATAAACATTCTGTCATCATTTCAGGACTCTTGGATTCTCTCTGGCACTGTCTTAGGTCGACCTCGGTACACTCAAGAATGTTTATGGATCTTACCAGATGGAACTGGCTGATTATACCATTCTTATAAAAACTCTTACAGTGCCTCTGGAGTGTCCTTGGACACGCTCACCGCCCTTGTTGTCTCCCCTCCCCTGCAGAATGTCTGCGTGCTTATGTGCGAAGTGTTTTTTTTTTTTTTTTTTTCAATTTCAAGCTATTTTTCCTCGGCCAAGGAATGAGAGTCTGTTAGGATTGTTTTTGGGTTTTTTTGCCTCCAAATCCTATACTGTACATGTTGTCATTTTCATAGTTTTTTTTTTGTTGTTGTTGTTTGTCTATCAAAACAGGTCTCACTTGTAGAGGCTCATTGTGATTTATCTGTATAAATAAAGGCTTAATGTATGAAAATTAAACATGTTGCTTTAAAAAAAAATTCTGTTTGTGTTAATAATTTTCACTGAGCACAACAATGAGCAAATCCTGCAGTTTTTTTGTTTACTTTTTTTACTTATAGTTGGAATGCAGTGAAGTCAGCAGTGACGTCAGACCAGCATTTTGACTTTGGAGGTAAATAGAACACAAACATATATGTATTTTTTTTATATATGTCCACTTGATGTATGTAAAGTATTTTTGACACACGTATTTGTAATCTTGATTTCCTGAAACTGTATTATTGAAATATGTTGCTTTGGTGATTGATTAATATTTAGAGGTTACATTTAAGCATCTACATAATAATGTATGAAAAAGTATGGCCTAAAATGGGTTTGCCAAAGTAGAAGAATATGACATTCAAATAAGTATCTTTTGGTTAAAATTTGCTTGCACTGACACCATCCCCTCCTTTTCCAGAAATAAAATTTTTGTGATCCTCAATTCTTCATTGTTAAGTCTCCACTGGGATACAGTGAGAACTTGTGTGTTCAATTTAACACATCCTCTTTGTCATCTATATAATCATCTGTTGATTGAAGAGCTATAGTCTTGTGTAGACATCTCATGAGTTTGTTACTTCATTGTGTATGTTCAGCCCTGGACCGCACATTTATTAATTTATTTCATTTTTATTATCATTTTTATTCAAACTAAAAAGGGTCAAGTAGTTCCTTGAGCAGAGTTGGTGCTGCTCAGCATCAATCTAAATTATGGCGGTTCCTTGAAACAAAACAGGAGAAATTTTCATTTATCTTCTCAGGCGTTCCTTAGTGAATTTGTTCTTATAGAAGTACACCATGTTTGTAACATCTTTACCCAACATGACACACTTAAACTGAAGGCTTCATTAAATGCAAAACATAAGAGTGCAGACGTGTTTTACTGTTCTTCTTACATTAGGTGTTTTTCTCTTATCCATGAACATGACCTTGGTAATTGTTCACAAAGAAAAAGGGCGAAATAACTTCCAAACTCCATTTTCTGATGGAAATTTTCTGCTCTCTTCTCTTTGACTCCCTCCTCTTTATTTTTCCTCAGACGGCACAGTATTTCACTTTTATCTGCAGATAGCAGGACTT